CATGAATAACAATCAAAATTAATAGAAATATTGGAAGCAGGAAAAGATTAAACAGACGGTGGTTGCATCATCGATCGTTTATTTAAAGAATCTGAACTATCCGAAGTTTTTGTTTCTTCAAGAGCATTAACTGATAAGCAGTTTAATCTTTTTTCAAGACGGAAGAAAGAATAATATAATCATCGAAAGACATATCGGAAATTTTTTGCTTTTTTTCTAATCTTTGCATTTCACCCCTTTTTTCTGAGTTGCGAAATTATGAAATGTGTTGTTTACGCGTATGCCAAATATTTAGCCGCCAAAAAATTGTTTACAGTTTGGTTACATCGTGAAATGAGCAAGAATGAAGGGAAAAAAGAAACGTGAGAAAAAAATGAGAGCAGATGGATGGAGAGAGAGAGAGAGAGAGGAGGGGAAAGAGTGGGAAGAGTTCCATCGATTCCGAGGAACAGTTATCGTCAAACCTCTTAATAGGAAATAGCAAAATGGACAAATAGATCTATTCCAAGAGAGGGAAAGACTGTCGTTAATAAATGTTATCTTTTGATAAGCAATCATTTCCTTTGTCTTCTAATTTAACCTCTCTCCAATTTTTCAACCAATGAAACAACGAAATATCCATTTTCAATAGCAACGAAAAAGAATAAAGATGAAATATCATTTGATCCGATAATAATAATAACAACAATAATCATAATAATGATAAAATAACATAAAACACTAGGCAATAATGATAAATAATAACAATAGTAATAATAAAGTATTTTCAACAGTATTACTTCAATCTTATGATTCCAACACAATGCTCTTATCAAATAATTACTTCATTTTTTAATTAAATTAATTCAGCAAACAAAGATCAGAGAAGATATTTATGCAAACAAAACCAAAGAAGATAATAATACATGCTTAATTTTATTAAATATGCTACATTTTTACGAACATATTAAATAGGAAATAATTTAAATGCAGACAAGATTGATGAAAAGTTTCCGCACAGTTCAGGTCAGATTTAAAGATTTACGAAATCATAGAAATAAGAAATCAAAATACATGAACGACAACTTGTAATTTAACGCCAGATAAAACGATAGAAAATGAACAAACTGCAGGTGCTCGAAATTATATAAAAAGAAATTAATGATTTCATAACACAATTTATTGGGACTAAATCATTTTTGCTATACTTTTTTATATTTATTTTATAAGTATACTAATATTATTCGATTTATTTTAAATCATATCAACAAATTGTTCAAAGAACTTTTTTCAAATTTTTATGAAATTTCCTTTTAATAATAAGAATTTCTGCACAAAACAATAATTCAAAGGTAAGTTTAAAACTGATGAACAGATGAATTTTTCTTTTCCAAAAACTTTCGAATGTTTTCATACCTCAAATAAAGAAATGAATTTTACTTTGTGCTGCGCAATTTTTTCTGCTTTGTATGATATGTTATTACAAGCAAAGCATTTAAGAAATCATCTTTCATTTAAAATTATTGAATGTGAACTTAAATAGAGTAAAATTGTTCACTTTGAAAAAACAAAAAGATGAAGTTTTGGTAAAGAAAAGTTCATTTTATTGACTACCATCCTTTTAATAACTTTTTATTTAAATATATTAATGTTATCTCATCTCATTTCATCGACGAATAAAGAACATTAATGAGAGAATAGTAATGTAAGTACTGAAAATTTTTACACATACAATTTGAATTTGAAATTAGCTGTGAAGAAAAGAGGAAAAAAATGTTATTGATGTGAGAAGCACTATTAAGTGTAAAAAGCACACAGCATATCATTTATATCTGAAATTATCTCGAAATTTCCATACTTGGAAAAGTGGCAAAAATAATGAAGGTCTAAAAATTTGAGTCTTATTACATTTGAAAAGAGAATAGAAGAATAACATTTAAAACTCTTGTTTGATTTTAATTCATTAGCAAATGTGATAAGCACCTAATTACTTTCCGGTGCGGTCAGAACCATAATTGCTCTCATAGCGATCATTATTAAAAATATTGAAATTGGAATGGTTCCTTTTGTAATATATTGATTATGCTTAGGAAATGCACGTCAATTGATCGCTCAGTTTTTTTGTTACAATCTGAAGATTTATTATAATTAACATTATTATTATTAGCATTATCGTTATTATTATTATGCAAATTGAATCACAAATTAATTAGCATTCCTCTCTATGCATTCTTCAGTTTGATTACTTCTTATGGCATTTGAAACGTAAGTATTAAATTATCTTTATTTCATTTACTATATTCTCTCATAGTTATTAAAGGTATATTTAAAAAATGGGAAAAAATATTAGTTTTTCAACAGACTGATCTGTGAAATATTTGCCGTCTCTGAAGCATCCAATCACGTACAAAAACATTTCAAATTTCGCTTTTAGTTATACTGAATGAGTGCTAACATTTTTAACACTTTTAACCATTCAAAATTATTAAAAGAACAGTACATTTAAACAAATATTTGAATATCAGATTAATAAGAGAAAAAATCATTATATTCCCAAAAGAAATTGACAAGCTGAATTTTGTATTGTTAAGAAATAATTGAGCCATACAAAGTACTGATCGGTGCATTTGGTGAGAGACTCATGTATGACGGATAATGCAAGAAGTAAGAAAGCAGTGAGAATTTCTTAGTTAATTAAGTGCGAATTTAGTCTTTAATTTTAAGCGAGTTTAAACTCAAATTTTAATTACAAAATACTTATGATATATAACTTATAAAAGTTGACGTGAGATGGTAGTAAGTTCTGTTTTAGTTTGTTTACATCCGGTCATTCATATAGCAATCTTATAAATGATAATAGAAAATTGTTGTAATTCGACTTATTAAATATAGTTAGATTTAATTTCCAATTAAAAACTTCCTATATATGGAATGTATTTTAATCAAAATTCAACAGATAGAAAGCTTAACTGAAAAGTAAAGCAAGGACAAAATCAGCTAATTACCATTTGAAAGATTATAATAGATAAGCAAAAAATCGGAAAATTCACATCCAAAAAAGGCCATTGGTAAAATCTTTTTTCACGAAGTATTCTTTGTTGTCCTCGACTGATATACGGTGAAATCGTTTTGGTTTCTCCGATAGAAACATCTTTCCTACACGCAACTAAGTATAACACTAAAGTACTACTTTCAACAAAATTTTTACTGATATATCAGTGAATTAATTGCATTAATTACTTTGTAAACGATTTTTCATGTCCTCTACTCCACAAATACTATGTTTGCTTACTCAATCATTTTAAAATTTTGTCTTTATGCCAATTTTTTTGTGTGTGGTTTATTAGTATTTACAATTTATAAGAATTTCTTCATTTTTCGTCCATTTTTTTAAAACAGTTCTATCATATAAGTTAGATGAAAAATTAACAAATTTGTCGGAAACCCGAAATGACTTTGGCCATATAAATATTGCAATATTATTTCGAGTTTCTATTTAAGAAAATTGCTTCTTTTAAAAAGATGAGCTCAGTCTATTTTAACAAACGAGAATTGGTAATTGAAAAATTTACTTCGAAAAATATATAATTTCTGATTCACTGATATAAATGATATGAACGAATGGCTTTGAATAAAAGAAAATCACTCAACAAATATATTGAACAAGCATAAAATAGTATCTTTTTTTATTTTCGTGCAATTTGCATATGTCTGTGGCAACAGAAATAGAATTATTTGGAAATAATAATTAAACATAAAATGCGTAGCAATACAAAACTCGCTAATTTAGCATAATAATACGTTCAGAAGAATGTGATGCAAAAAATGTTATGCGAAAATGTTCAAACTCAACAAAATATCCTCTCAAAAAAAAAATTATGGTTGAAAAAAATGACATAACTTAAAAACTTTTATGATTAAGAAATGTAAAAAGAACGGCAGATGCAAATTTCGAAGCATTTCAAGAGAATAAAATTTCAAGCCTTAATTTATGCTTCTTTTTTATCCTTCATTTCTAAATGTTTCAGAAAGAGATAAAAGTTTTAATAAACACTAAAATGTAATGAGAAACAAGTATTATATTTTCTTTCCTAAGAAAAAAATAACGAAGTAAAAGCAATCCATTAATTATTGGAATGCATAAAATTTCATTAATTCTATATATGGAATGATAATAAAATCGAACATAAGGAAAATAAAATGTATGAACTGGCCATACTGAGAAATGCAACAATGAAGTGGTCAAAACCAACAGTTAAAGAATCTCGAAAAAAAAATATCATTCTCCTAAACTTTGTAATGAAACAAAAATCAATTGATTGATTGAAAATTTTTTCGATTCATTACTTCGAAAAAATTCCAGTTATTTTCCATTCATGTAAAGGCAAGTCAATATGCATCGGTGAAAGCTCGATATAAATGGTATAACTTCTAATAAAATTTTTTTACTGTCACTAATTAGTAATGATAAATTATTTTTGTCATGGAGACACACTTAAAACAAAACTTAATCAACCATTACAAATTTCTTATCTACTAAACCAATACAATAATTACAATTAAATGATCCAATTACAACCTTATAAAAAAATAGAAGAAAAGAGTTCCAATAAATCATATTATATACATACAATAAATGCACGAATTAAAATATATGTTTGGTATGCATTTTGAAAATTTCAAAATAAAAATAAGTAAATTTCACATTATTGAAACTAAAAATTTAGTGAAAGTAATGCGTTAGGTTTCTTATTGATCGCTCCAAGCAACAAAATTCATTATGATTTATTTCTATTCAAATTATTTCTTCAATGAACAAATAAGTCATTATTTTGATATGATTTCGGTAGTGGAAAATTCAGATTTCCGATTTTTCTCATTGTTTATCCAATATTTAAAATCTTGATAGTAGCAAAAAATATCCAAATATTGTCCAAAAATGATTTTTGAAAAATATTTCACCATCATAATAATAAAAATAAGTAGTTAGAAGATTAATGAAATTGTCTGTTCTTGCTTTTTCAGTACGGTCTATAATATCCCGGTGGTCCTAATCTAATTTCACCGTAGAAATTGTTAACATCCTGAGTATGTGACATATAAGATGGTCCATTAAATGATCGCTGAGAAACCGGATGTCGAACGGAAGGTGATGATAACTCTTCATGCTGTTGTGCACCAGGTTTTGAAGCAACCTGAATGAAATCAGTGCCAAAAATGATTTAAAGATTTAAAAAAGTAAAGAACATAATTATAATAGCACGTTTACATACCATCCTTATTCAATCACTAAACTTTATTTCACACTTGAATTAATTAGATTCAATTAAGTTTAACGAAGGAATTCTTTTATTAGGTATAATTGGAAGAAAAATTAAGCATTAACCTTGGAGAACCATTCTTGATAGGTGGTTTCCCCGACACCTTTCGGGATTTCTTCTAAAGTATTCGGCGATCCTTTACTGGTACCATTTTGAGAAGCTGTTGTTGCTTGCGAAAATTGTCTGCTATGTGTTGCATGGTATGCTGCATTCTCGAAACCACTTTTTTTGCTATTCAGCGGTGAAACAGTAACTAAATATATCATAAAACAAAAATTTTCCTTTGCTTCTTATTTCTTCGTAAAAATCGTCTACTTAATTATTTTTGTATTTAATTAATTAATCTGTAATCATTTAGACAGATGGAAGTTTTGATACAATATATAACATTCTAAAATAAAATTATTTTACTGAAACATACGATTGTTATTGCATCCATATCCATTCATTGGATAATGTATATTGTAGTTATTCTGAAATAAACAGTCATGTTATAATAAGAAATGATTTACCGACATATAGTAACCAATTAACCACTTCAATCTTATTATTTTACATCATAAGACTGCTATTAATTTCGTAGTATTAGTACTAACTAATTGAAAAACAGATGTCGAAATCGATACTGAAAAAAGCATTTAGCTTACGCAATTATCCGATCGTACTTTTCGTGAACGGCTAACGATGCAACAAACAAGAAATGTTGCAGTGAGAAATAGTGATACGCCGATACTCAGAACAATCCAATTTTGAATTTTGTCTAATTTATTTGATGACTCTGCAAATCACATGAGATAATCAAGAAATGATACCGTTTATGTGAGTGGTAAATTTTAATGTTGTAAGGAATTTAAAAAGTATGAGACTGGATGAAAAAAAAGTAAAGTAATTAACCTTTCTCTGTTTTTTTTAATATTACAGATGCTATTTCCAGATGTAATGCTTCCGGAGACTGAAGTTTAACTTGCTAAAATTAAAGTTTTTATTTTAGAAAATTATGTTAATTTTTTCCTCCTTCTGTTTCTAAAAAAAAAAGTTGGAATCTCAAAAAAATATTTTATCTTCTTTTGTAGCTTAAAAATAAATTTTAAAAAATAATATATATATTGACAGGAAAATAATTTGTAAATTTCAACTTTATTTAAATATTCCTTCACTTCACGGTCACTTGGTGGAGGGTCATCTTCTGAGAAAAACGTCATAAAGGCCAATATACTTCCTTTTCTGAAATTTGAATATGTTACTTACCCACTAGGATAGAATTTTTTTTCACTGTTTATAATTCACTAAAAGGACAATTCAAAATTGTGCAGAAGGAACAATTTTATTGCTTATTTGAATATTTAAAACAAAAAAATCACAAAGACTATTATTATTATTATTATTACAATATCAATTTATTACCTCGCACTATCTATTCATTGAATTTCAGTTGAATAACTTATCTTCAACTATGAGCAAATAGCAAATTTGAACCAAACATATTTTCATATCTACTAAATAACACTAATCCTCTTAGTTTCCAAAATTATCGCTTTTAATGTCTAAAATTATTTCTTATTGCGTTTATTTATTTAAAACTCCTTACTTGAATTTTTTGATTTCAATTACTCTCATCTGTGGATATCTCATTTTTATCATTGCATTGACCTGAAATTTTTCAGCTCAGAATTTCCATTTCCAAATAAGAATTTAAAAAAAAATTAATAAATCAAAAAAGTAAACTAACTTCATTGATTACTTCAGTGGCTAACTGTTGAAATTCTTGAGTATTTTGATTGGCAAAATATGGATTCCATTCACGATTCAAAATACGTATTACCACATCAAATATAACCTAGAAATGTTGACACCCTTTTCAAGTAAAACTCCATTTCACCATTTTAGCATTTTAAAACGTTTGTTACTTTTTGTAAATGACCACTTACTTTCCGATTTATTAATTTGTTTCTTTTTAAAGTGAAAGTTAAGAAAAGTAAAATATTACGCTGCTTTGATATAAAAAGTGAGCAAAATTAATAAAAATTTCGGCGAACTTACACTTTCAGTAGTAATCGACTCTTCCGGTAAGATAGATGCTTTATGAAGCGGTTCATTTTGTGGCATTTTTTTAACTGCCAAATTATTCACACATAACGCAGCGCAAATTTTCGTTCCGGACGAAATTGGTGTTTCCTTATGCTTATGTATCTCATTCGTTTCTACAAATGCTATACAACATTATGGAAAAATCAAAAAAAATTCAGCGATAATTTGGGCAATATTGTAAATACTAGACATTTAAAATAAATTAAATAATACCATTTAAAATAATAAGGAAAAATTCACCAACGATTTGGGCAATAGTATGAATTGAAAATAAATTAATATTATTGTGAGTAAAAAGAAAAGAAGAAACAAAGATTTACCCATATCTAATATGCCTCCGTTAACTGGATACAAGAAATAAACACATTGATCGATGGAAATATCATTCTCGTCATTCGAAACCAAATAACGCGAGAAATTAGCATATACTCGACCCTGATCATATGATGTCCGAATATCGAATAAGTTTTGTTCGTTATCTATCTTTGGTCGACTATAACTCGGTGAAAACATATCCAAAACTTTTACTATTCCTTCCTGTAATCGATTTTAATTTCGCTTTAAAATTTGTTTCTTTTTTTTCACTACGAAATTTTGATATTGTATAGTGTGAATTAAATTGGATTAACAATGCTGCAAAATGCTAAAAGATAATAAATTATGGTGCGCTGAAAAATTATTTTATATAACAGTATTTATGATATGAACATAATTATGTCATAATTACCATTTGCAAAGATTAGCAATCCGATGCGTACTCTTCAAGTTAGTGAAAAGTTACTAAATTCAAAATTGTGATATTATTTTAAATACTAATGAGAAGAAGGATAATTATTATTGTAGTAATCATCATAACCTGGTTATCAGAACATAGCTGTTAAAAATTCTATTTCTAATTATAAATTGAAATATATCTGAGGCTTACATCCAATACATTGACAACGATAACATCGGAATGTGCCATTGATCCATCAAATGAAAAGCCTATTCCAGTCCAATGATAGGTTGGAATTGCTGCAGCCAATGAGAATGAAATTTTTTTCCCATTAATCCACCAACTTATTGTATAATTACATTTTTCATTCGTGCAGTTGGCTGGATATTCATAACTACCGAAGCATTCGTTTTTACGGCCTAACTTTTGCAATTGTTTTGATTCTTCTTGTTCATTATCTGCAACTTTTTTCTGCATTACTCCAAATTTAAGCTATTTTGTCATCTTAGTATCTCCCATTAATTTATATCATTAATTAAAAGAGGATTAAAATTAAATTCAGAATGCTTTACTTACATAATCATACCAAACTATCACCATCATTGGATGCGAGAGTATAAGTCATAAGTAAATATAGATATGAATGTAATAAGTGGTATGCAATAACTGAACAGTTAGTAATTTATGAGTGAAAAAATTATCGACTCATCAAAATTTTTGAATTATTTGCACAAGTTGATAAAGAGACAAACCGAAGAAATTTATGATCAACTGTCCTCGACTACTCTCACCATCTAAAAACGAAGTTGTTGTTTTCTCCAAAACAACCTAAAATTATTTTAAATGGACAATTTGTTGGGTAAGTCTTAGCACTTAATAATAAGCAGATATAATAAGTGAAATCAGTTAACTATTTCGTGAAACTAAATGTCAAAAAAGAAAATATAGTGGAAAAAAAGGTTAGAAAAGCAAATTTTCACCTGAGATTCTCCAGATATCACACCCTTTGTCCAAATTACAACAGTCTCTTTTGGTGATATTGTTCGATCAGCGTGATCGGATGCTTAAGAAAAATAGAATTTACGCTCTGAATGGATAAAATAATAGAAGTATTCGATAGAAGTGCAATACAGCTAATGATACTAAGATTACGTTGCTAATTCTCACCTTTCAAAGGTTTCCGAAAAATGACTGTAGTGATGTTATCCTGCTGATAGGCAGTCGCTGAAGTCAGTGAATCCTTTCCACCGAAAAGTTCATCTGGTTGTGGTAAGATATGAGAAAAGGAATAATAGTCTCGTACTTGTGACATGCCATCAACCATCACTCCTATCACCATATCAAGACAATCCATTGAATGTTCCGCTACAAATTTCATTCATTTCTACTGTGCTAATAATTTCAATTTAAAAATCTCTAACAACCAATACAAAATTTACCATTTTTCTTTTCCTCTTCCTTCAATCGCTGCTGAATTGGTTTTCGTTCCGGTTCATCTGCTGCGGATGCAGTCCATAGTTCAGATTCCGGTTTAGGTATATCTACAAGAGTAGTTGTATTGATAGGAAGGTGAGCTGATCGCTCCGGTGCCGATTCTGACTTCACTTCCATCATTTCTGACGGAATCGATGCATTCACTGTAATATACGACAGAGTTAGTTAAAAAATATTACTTGACGAAGGGATATTACTTTCTTCAATTACCGAATGATTGACTGAGTCGCCATCGTTGAAGCTGTATCAGCAATATAAGTTGTCTGATTTCAGCTGATAAATGGCTACTTTTCAACGAATCTCTTGAATCAAAAATACCAATTTTTTCTTCCTTGAACCTAATATCTACCTTTTGCACCCTTTGTAACATTAGCATTTCATTTCAATTTACCTCAAAATACTGCACTTAAATTTGCAACAAAGGAAAGTAGAGTTGCTTTGACTTCCCCTATTAGTATTATTTTGTTGATTGGTCATTTTTTGATGTTTACTCTGTTGGATTTTTGTGTTTTTTATTCTTTTATTTTATTTTTCCTATTGAGCTTCTTTTGTTTTTTTGCAAAGTTATATCTTTTTAACTTTAGTTCCCATGTTTTTATTCAATATAACTTAACTGCTTGTTATATTAGTTTAATTTAAGAATCTTGGTTCGGTGAGACAATAGTTATTATAATTTTTTTGGCTTTTTTCCAAACAGAAGGTTTTTTTAAGCTAATAATTTATTTGCAAAATTATGTTTTTCCTATTCCTAGTAATCTCTATGTGTTTTGTTGTTATTATATTCATAATTATTATTCTCATGTTATATTTTTTAGTTAGTCATATGATAGAGTTATTTTTTGTGTTTCTCGGCTATCAAACTGTTTTTATTATGAACTTATGATTTCAATACTGGAGACTTATGTCCATATCATATTTCGATTCTCAAGTTATTCAGATAGAGGCTAATATGGTGCCAATAATGCATACCTTTATCGATTCCTGCGAAATGATCGATTTGAACTTCGAACGGATCTTGCGACTGTCGCTTTAGACGAAACGACACATCCTTTTGATTTATTCGACGACGATTCCGAACTGCTGGTGGTCCATCATCGGAAGCAATTGAAACACCGTTCTACCAAATTTTCAATTATTTCATTCGATTTCATTCAAATTGTTTTCCATAGCCTTCGTTAGCTCATCCATAACGTTAATGATTACTGAGCAATGAAATCACACTTCATAATAAACTAACTTTCCTGTTACATTCTATCACCTCTCTTCTTTCAAAGATTAATTCATCAAAGTATGATTCCGAAGAATTCAAATCTTTCTGTAATTTCATCAGCTGTAGTTGCTTTTCCAGCACGGCTTATCACAAATGAATTTCCCAATTAGCACATTTTAATGCCTTCAAAATACCAACTATCAAACGATTGCTCTCTCATCATTTTCCATCTTTCTCAACACTTTTGCATTCCAACCTTTGTGTGTGCCGCTTTTGAATGTAAATTACGAATGTGATCTCGAATACTTTTTCTTGCTCAACTTTTTCAATTCTCCCTTTATAACCTTTAACCCTTAACTCTTACTTTTACTCACCTCCTAATAGAAAAGAATAGAGAAGAAACTAATGGGAGTTCTTCAAATCCTGACAAATATTAAGTTCAGATAACATTGTATCACAGAAACTAGATAATTTAAGTAAGTACTACCTGGTCACAAATGCAAATTTTTGTACGCGAAACTTTGGGCTGATAAAGGTCATGATAACCGATCGGTGTTTTGGCATTCTGGAAATCTTGGCTTTTCCGTGCTAGAACTCGTCCGCCACCAACTGGGAACAGGAAATAATAGCACACATTGAGTGGAAAATCAGTAATTGTATCAGCTGGAAGTACCTTTCGACGAAATGTTATTGTCTGCAAATGAATAGAAATAATTTTTGGAATATTTCCTTAAATATTTTTATTAATTCATTGAGACTGCAAATAAAAAATAAATAGACAAACCTGAATATCATCTTCTGCTTTGCCACTAATTTCGTAAATATCTTGACGATCGGCCGGATCAATTGCTGGAAGTTGACGACCGTATGCAAAACGATCCGTAACATATGCTTTTCCTTCAAACACCCAACCAGTATATATATCCGAGCTTGCCATTTGCCCATCTCGTGAGAAACCAATTCCGGTCCAACGACCCAACTCCTTCGACGAAATTTCGAATTTTACATCTTTCCTAGCCATACTGTATTCCCATTTCGCAATATAATCACATGCAGCATCACTGCAACCAGCCGGATAACGATATTCGGTTTCGCATGAACTTGTAGCTAAAATTATGTTTCAGTTGGATACAATTTAACTTTTTGCATCAATTCCTTTACAATTTTTCATCTAAGCGTGCTACGAAACTATGAAAAAAAATTTCCATTATAATGATAATTTCATATTTAAATGTTTAACACTTTGGCTAAAAAATAATTAAATGTAAAATGAAACTCAACGAAATCTACAATTACCATTAGAAGTTATAAATAAAAGAAAAAATCTTACTCTGAAGATTCTGTGGGGCAACACAACTTTGTATGCAAATTTTATTCTCTGACACGTGTGGTATACTAATGTGCTTCGATAATTGGCCGTTCTAAAAAATTATTACATAAAAAAAATTTCTTATTTTGATCAAAAAAATTTTTTTTTAAATTTCGATTTTTTAGTGATTAATAATGAACTGTGAAGGGTTGACATCAATGAAGTTCAATTTCGATCTTGACCAAATGATTTTTCATATTTCTCATATTTTATATTTTTTAATATTTATTAATATTTCTCATATTTGTCTGCAGAATATTTCATTAATATGTTGAAACATTTTAAGCGTAAAGGAATTTCGAAGGTCACTTATCTATTTGATTTCCTCCTAAGTAAAGCAAACGTTTGGTGTTGCAATGTCCTTACGAACAAATGAATGAAATTATGAACAAAATTATTTCCTTGCATGCATGACTTAAAAAGCAAACAAAAGGACAGACCGGTTCTAATCGTCCACCAGAAACGGGAAATAGAAATTTGTAACAATTAGTTTCCGAGAAATGGTGATCAGCTTTTCGATCGCCGGTGTCACGTTTTCGGGTAAATTGTACCCTTAATACGCCATTAACATGTGTTCCGATCACAGTCGGCGTATAGACGTCTTGTTTACTGTCTTCACGTGGCACGCCATATTCCGTGCTATACATATCATGCAGTGATAATTCACCATTTCGACTTTTTACAATAATAATATCAGCTTCTACCTAAAAAATCTTCCAGCGCAGTTACAATTTAATGATTTCTATCACAAATAAAGAATAAAGTTCCAGTTTTTCTTACCCCACAAAACTGCTAAAATATTCGAGTCAAAATTAAAAACTTCTAACATCTCATAATTTTTAACATCAGTCTCTGATAGTGACAAGTAAAAGGAATTGGTGCATTATTAGATTAAATATCGGTGGATAAAGACGATAATGAAAAGTTACCATTGTTCCGGTGGGCGAAAAACCAACACCTGTCCACCAATTTGAAGGTGCACGTGTTTCGATCGAAAATTCAATCTCATCAGTGTCATCCAAATAATTCCATGAAATGCGATAATCACAGTCACGACATCCGGGAGGCCAACGCCAATCACCGTAGCAGACATCACCGTCAACTTCTAAGCATTAAGAGTTGGAAAGAAAATTTGAATATTAATATGTCAAGAAATCTAGATTTAGAGAAAAATTATGACAACCAAGTTTATTAAGGTTAAATGTTAAAATCTTTCAATGCACCCATCAATTTCAACCGGTTGAAAGACGGAAAGCTTTGAATTATGAATGAATAAGTAAATAATAGTACCGGATTCCAATAAAGACGCAAATCCGGCATTTGATATATTATTTTGTGATTCGACGTTTGCAACATTTATAAAAGCTTCAGCATCCGCCAAATTCAATTCACTTATTTCATTTGATAGCTTAAGAGATGAATTGACCGACTCTGTTCCACTTGCAGCACTGGTCGCTGATGTTTTTGGTGGTTGCAATATTGATGAAGAAGTGTGTTGTCGGTCGTGTGGTAAACGGCGATCTAAAAAAAGCCGATTAATCAATAAAAACTTAAGTTTGTTGGGAAATCTCGAAATTTTTTAGTAAAAAGCTTTTCGTTAAAAGTTTTGCATTCAAACTTCCTTCATTTCACATTTTATTCATTGTTTTAACGAATATAAATAAATTCAACAAAGAAGCAGCAAAAATATTTACTTCCGTGCGGGCAATCAGCCCAATAAATACATCGATCATCAATTCGTGCATAACCATAAATGCATGCACATGCAGGTCGATAACACTGAGTGCATTTTTCCCGAGAATAAACCTGTAATTTATTAAGTAACCTGAATTAATTTTTTTGAAACGGAACAGCAAAAATTAATTTTAAATAACATAGCAAAAGTGCACGCCTAAAACCTATCAGCTTGTTAAAATTGCCCTAAATTACACTCTATTCCCTTTTTTCTTCCATTAAATTCTGGTTTGCTTGTTGATAGAAAGTAACAGTGTGAAAGGAATTGATTCTAACGGTCACATCAAATTATGATTTTAGATCGGCCGAATTAGTTCCTAATATCGACCGTTCAGCGTTCAATAATATCTCTGAACTGTACAATTCTGGAATTAGAAATATCAGTGTTAAAAATTATTACGTTAGACCTACATTATTACAATTTGTTTCACAGGCTCGACCACATTCGTTAATTGTTTCATTGATGCCACAAGCTAAGCTACCGGATACTGTTTTAGTTTCCGCAGGTATTGCTATTGCTGTTAGGGTTGTTGTTTCCGACTGGTTACTGCTATTACCAGGAGTAAATTCCACTTGAACGGAACCTTCTGTAGTTGTCTTCATTGGTACTGAGGTGGGAGAATCGGACGCAAAGCGTTCCTCAAGATCTGAAATAAGCATTGTTTCCGATCCTTTCCATTTTACTATCCTCGAAACTTCAACTGAAACTTGGCATTTAGCACGATGCTCTAAAAAAATTAATCAAAAATATTTCAAAGATATTTGTTATTTTAACTCGAAGATAACAATAACGATAATACCCACTTGGACAATCTCCCCAAAAGATACAGTTTCCCCCGTATCTTACATAATTATCAGCGCATGTACAGGCCGGTTCCTCACAACTTGCTGGACATGGCGTTGTGTCATACATATTTTCACATGTCGGTTCGCAAGCAATACCACATTTCGCCCAGGTTGAATTAATTGGACATTCTATTTCAGCCTGTTTTAAATGAATAAAATGAGCGATATCATCTTTCTTAAAGTAAATTTAAATCTGCTAATATTTCACAAAGTTAAAAACGGAAAACAAAAGGCGAGAAAGAGAAATATCGGAAAAATCAGATTTATATTCTCCACTGCTTACCTCATCAGAACAGAAATGAAACGGAACACAGGTATTATTATCATTTGCTGACCGGACAAAACCTTCTTTACAGATGCACTTTGGTGTACCGCAAGTCCGTGGACAATTTGGAATTGTTTCCGGGAATTTTGTCCAGTCGCAAGATGCTTCACACTGGCGAGTAAATTCCGGACAGTGAGAAAATTCTTCATTTTCATTACAAATTTCTGTAATCAATCAATAATTGCATGATTTTGTTGCAGTACTAAGATATATCGTCACTTCAAATTCCGAATTCTAGGGAATTTTGAAAATTTATTTTTCTAGCAATTTTTTCAAATTCAAAATCTCACTTTCAATTTTAACACCGTGAGTATCTGAAGAACGATTATTGCTGATCGATTCAGAAGGAAGCACTTCATTTGCAACAGTTTTATTTTGTTTATTGGTAGATGTTTGAGATGTCCACCATGACGATGATGTGGTCATCAAATCCTGCCAAAATTTCTCCCCTGAACTTGTAAAGTTCTGCGATGAGGGACAGTACTCATCGGAGCTTTTTGGTTTCCAACCAATACCAATCCAAGATTTAGTTTTGAATTTTAATACAAATTCAATTTCGTCCTAAAAAGAAAGTAGTAGAAGTTGAACTATGACATCTTTTATCATTTAATTTCAAAAACTCTTCCAATTTGTTAGAGTCACTAATTAAGTCACTATTCAAAATAATATTTGAAAATTTAAACAATGTTGTTTCAAATAATAATTTCCAACTGTTTTATTTTATTTATTTCTGACGCATCATTATATACTATTGATATTACGGATTAAAAATATCTATTCAGTGTAGATTTTTGATTTTTAAACTCACAAATTAGAATTTTTTTCAAATCCGAGTTTAAAAGTATAAATAAAAGGACGAAGTCTTCCAGAATTTTGAAACATATGAAAATGTAAATTAAAATTGGGAATGATTGCCATTCATTCGTGATCAAATGTTTCTAATATTATTAATAGCTTAAAATAAGCATTCAAAATTATAATTAGAAAAATCTGCATGATACATAATTTTGTTTTATTTAACATATTTATTTATTTCTATATGAGACTGTATTCATATGTTTTTCATTGAAATTCATACTATTATATGAAATATGTTATCATTGGAAGCTTTTTTATCGTATTATTTTGAACTGAATTACGTTAATTTCACGGTTGATTAATTTCAAACAATGAACCATTCCTTAATATTGTTGACAATGGGACGATGACAATATAGAACGATAGGAAGAGGGACGAATTGTTGTGTGTCGAGAAAGATAGGAACGGAAGGTAGAAAGGATAAGCAATGTAGGCTGCATTGATATATCGGTCAAGGTTTCCCATTCCTTCAATTCAGCCGTTGCAAATAACAAACTGCTCAACACCACCACTACCGCTGGCACATTCATGTAGCAAATCACTCCTCCTTTATACTGTTTCCAATTTAATCATTTCATCTTATAGATAAGTCTTTTTTATCTAAATATAATTTGATTTGAACTGATGTTTATTGAATGGGGAAAAGAATGTCAGCAAAAATATCGAGAAATTATATTTTGATATCTGAAAGGAAATGAAAAATTCAATTGTCTAAAGATAAATCATTCCATTCAAAAATGCAAACGATCTAGAAATAGAAAAGGAATAAAATTGATGACTGAAATTTAGTCATGCGGGAACACCAAATATTGCAAATTATTCATGTATTACTAACCTAAATGGTTTGTCTAAGATAATGTACATTTTAAGATGGATACAACAGGAGTGGTTTGTTTTTTGTTTTAAAAATATAAAAAATTAAATAAAAACAGAATAAAACCGGATATTTTTACAAATGGAAAATTTTGGAACATTAAAAATTTATTAAATTATTCCAAAAAAAGAAAGAATCTCTTTATGAATGATTGAAGTATAAACTATAAAATCCTCCCAACATTATTTCAAATTAATTTGTATTATTCCTAATAAGATTCATTTTTACTCATGTTACAAAAAATTGACAGTAAACAAAAAAAAAATTTTGAAAATAAATGCCATTATCATTAAAAGACAACATAATACATCATTGTTATGGTTAAAAAAGTGATAATTGATTTATAATTTTAGTGATTCGATTTTATTGTTTCATACGAACTTAAATATACAGTGAACAGTTCAATCTATATTTTAGTTCGTACAAAACAACAAAATCGAATTACTGAAACACAATAAAAGAGTGGTATCGAAAATATGAATTACTTCTACGGATTTGCTGTACAACATTTTTGCATGTATAGTCTAACGTTATCATAGGATCGTTTAATCCAACGGACTGTTTACAGTTCAATACGTTTTACAAATAATGCTTGTATGCTATCGACAGGGTCAATTTTCACTAATTTAAATGATGGTTTGTGTTAAGATATGTCTAACCTGCAATATCCTCCAATAAATTTTATCATTGTCTTGTCCGACTTCGTGCATGTGATATAATGATGGAAGGAATTCCGAATCATCAGTAAAACTCTGTGATACTAAAAACATATTCAATTATCAATTGAATATTTCATCTAAAATAAAAAATTGAATGATTTGAATTACGGAAATTTTGTTGTACATTTCATGTATTATATAAAATTTGTAATTCCTTTTTGTTTTATCTATTGAAATTTAATTATAACGGACAAATATTTTAATATTATATTATTACTGAGATACTCGTTCTCAATAATAGTGAAATTAGAATATTGCATTGGCTATGAAATATACTTTTCCTTATAAGAATGAAGATAATCGAAAATTATTGAAATTCTATGCTTCAATTTCAAGAATAATTCACAGAATATTGCTTATAAAATTTTTACATTACATGATGAAATTTTCATTGCTGATCACTGACTTTCTGTAAGCAACAAATTAATTATTTTTGAATTAATTAAGGATTTTAAAATCATATCTCATGAATTATTTTGAAACATCAACGGTGGTAATGGAGGATGGACGATGGAAATTGACCATATTAATTGGCTAGGTTCCCGATATCACTCAAAATATTTATTGGACTGCAGGAACCGGTATGGTCCAACTCTTAATAAGTAGCGGTATCTCACGGACTGTCCACGTTTCGAGTTAGGTCTCAAATACAGACATTTCAGGTCTTTTATTTCAAACATTCATAGAGGGATAAAATGCCTTAAACTGAACAAATTTTACAATGACTTTAATATAAATGATATTGTAATATTATACTTTGTCGACCAAATCAACCTGAGTTATTTCTATTTATAGAAAATTTCTTACGCAATATATTTTCTGTAAAAAAATGTATAAAAACGGAAAATGGCTGCATGAAAAATCGTCTGGATTCATCCGGGTTACTGTAACTCATAAAACAAACCATGTTGACACATTGTTCCGAAATAGCCTCGTTGACAGAAGCATTGCTTCATCGTTAATGCACCGTTCGAGAGTGGAACACATCTTCCATGACTGTTACAATCACTGTCATTTGTACATTCATCTGCAATCGTATCTTACTAATCAGTTTAAGTAATTAATTGGATGAAAAAATCCCTGATCCTACTACAAATATCTGTAAATCCGATTGAATTAAGGTAATTTGAATGAAATAATACCAAAGTTCTTCTTTTAAATTTTAAATTTTTTAAGTTTAAAGGTTTTAAGAAACTTTTAAAATATTTAATCATTCCAAAAAATTAATGTATTGCAAATAATTAGGTGGAGAGATGAAAAAATGCTCTTGCTTTAAATAAGGGATAGTAGTTCCAGTAATACAACAGAAACTATTATAAATTAAACGAAATTTATAAGACATAACATATTGCTAATTATATGATATTTGATACTTTAATAAAAGTTTTAAATTAAATTAGAACGGAATAATTTCACTTACATGCCAAAATTGAATTATTTTCATAATTTACTTTTGTAAGTAAATTATAAAATTATTTAATGACGTCGTGATCAAAGGGTTGGAAAGAGACTGACTAATTAATTAATTAAATGTTATGCTATGTAATACTAAGATGATACAAAAAGTTGACTAATTAAATATGATACTTGTTCGTTGAACAGATAAAATGTCAAATTAACAAAATACAGTCAAAAGGAGGTCATTAATTGCTTCATAAAATATGAGAGTGATATTATTGTAATATACCAATCATATTGTCATAATATTATGAATAATCTGATAATATTCGCTCAAATAATAAATAGCAATTATTCCAATTTTTTAAAGTAATGAATTAGCTCATCATGATCATTTCTTTATCACTGTATGAATAATGAAATAACTCAAATTTTATAGTTGCAAAAAAATTTGCAAATTTATCGGGTTAAAAAGAATTCCGATTAACTAGCGTATTTTTGCGACAAGTCAATGCATTTTTAGTGATTAATCATTTCGACTTTTTTAAGTTATTAACTCTTTAAAATCACTTCTGCAGTATGATGTCAATAAACGAAAAACTTGAATTCAATATCTTCGCAATTTTGTTGTTGCAAAAGATTTGAAACTTACAAAAATATGCGATTATTTTATCTAATATTTTTGGATATGTGATTATTTTATTTAATGTCAAAATTGAATAATTTCAGTAACTTTTTTCGATTCAAAAAGAAATGAATAAAATTTATTCAGTGACATTAAATTCTAACTAAGGTGCGAAATTTGCCATCCTAATTTTATTTAAATTTTAGAACTGTACTAAATAATTATTAAACTGTTCCATTATTTATGTAACAAATTGTTGCAAAAGTTTTTCGATTAACCGTTATAGTAAAATTTTGCTATTTCAAAGTAGTGCTATTAAAATTGTCGCAAATTTATCCAAATTGATTGATGTTAAATATTTAAAGTGGATATTAAAAGATGAGAAAATGAAATTGATGCATTACAATACCGTGATATTGGCAGTTGTCACCGGATGAGTGCAAATCGCATTCACATATTCCGTGCTTCCTCTTTCCATTGCCCAGACATGTATCGCCATCTGGGATTTCTAAAATTTAAATAAAATTAAAATTGCAAATTTCGCACCTTGGTTAGAATTTAATGTCACTGAATAAATTATTCTTCATTTCTTTTTGAATCGAAAAAAGTTACTGAAATTATTCACTCTTGACATTAGATAAAATAATCACATATTCAAAAAAGAAGAACATAGAAATAAAATTTGGAATACAAATTTATGAAATCAAGAAAAAACAGCTGGCGTGAAAATTTTCTAATCAATATATGATCGCATTTCTCCTCGATTATCGTTCATCCTTATGCTTTTAAATCTTACTTTTTGAGGTCTTCTTTGAAGAAAGCAAAAAGAAAAAATTCTATTCTCTAATTTAAAGTTCGGAAAAAACAGAAAAAAAGCTTTTTTGCTTGGAAGGACGTAACATTTTGAAAATGTTTGTTAGTTGCATAGGTCACTTTTTTAATACATGTAAATTTCAATTAGTTGCAATTCTTCTTCATGTATGGGAAGACTTTTTCTTGCTTTGTGCCATTTTTAAGTAACAAAATAGAAATCTTTAAATTGAATTGTTCTATTAGTTTATGAAACTGTGACTTGCTTGAATAGCTCAACATCAGAAGAAAGGATGAGGAATTGGTACTTACCATTAACGATATTCACATCAGCGCATGAATAATGAGACGAATAATTCTTTCCGGTTTCAGCATCCTGCAGGATAATTCGTATCACACAATTGTAACATTCGTAATTTTTCGGTAACATTATTGTTGCTGACGTTTTCCTGATACAACAATAAAATTTGCATGGATAATATGTTTTTATGCATATGCAACGAGGAGAAGGAACCCACTAAATGTAAATCATGTGTGTAAAATGTAAATTATTTAACAAAATTTACCGAAAAATATCAATGTTACAAATGGGATATCAAAAGAATATTGAATATGAAATTTTTATTTGCTGAATAAATTCTTACCCATTCATTTGAAAAGAAGGAAAAATTGATATTTTTTGTCGATTATTGTTTTGAAAATTTTGTTAAATGTACAAAAGTAAAAATTACAAAGTTCTGTCATTGTTGTTAACACTTGTAATTGGTGACAAAACTGCAATTATTTGATCCATTTCGTTCAATAACTCTAATTTCAAACTTCCCTTAAATTTAATCTTAAACAATGATGATAATTTGAATTGGTTCTTTTCATCTAATCATTTAAATTGTCTATTTGCAAAAAGAAAAAGAAACAAAAAGAGTGAGCAGTCGAATTCTTTTCATGGATGTCAAATTTCATTCAAACTAAAAGGAAAATATTTGATGAACAAGCGAAATCGTACATTATCAGATACTGACTGAAACCAAGTGATATTAACATCTTCACCGGATCGTAGCCACGTTACAGCACCTATAACACGGAATCAATAAATATAATATCAATTTGAATTTCATGAAAAAAAATTAATTACTTCATTTAATATAGCAAATATTCGTATGCTTAACAAATATTTGTTTGGAGGAATCAATCAAAAATGAATACATTAAAAAGATTAAATAGTCTTAATTATGCTGATGAAATCAGTACCTTTTTATAAACTACCGCTGTCCAAATTAATTGATTGCTATTTCTATCAATGATAAGAAGTACTGCTATTAGGATAGCAATTTTTTATTCCAGCAACAGTTCATAGTTATTAGGAGAGTGAATTAGTCATTATAATATCACTACTTGGACATTTTTAATGTTTGTGTATAAATTTGTTCTTCTTAAATGACTGGAAAAAATAATTAGGATAAAAATTATTGTTCAAACAATATTGCAATAATTTTTTTACAAGAAGAATTTTTCTTCATTTATTATGTTTGTATTGCATTTTCCCGATGTTAAAAAAAAATGAAATGCATTTGTCATTGGAAATTATTAGTCCCGTTATAATAACACATAACACTGTTGTTAATGATGATGATAATGATGACGATATGTGACATGAGACATTTTTATGATTTTTAGTGAGTGACTGAACTTTTCTTATCCTTTTAACTTTTTATCTACGAAATATATCGTATCTCATGCATGCCCTTAGATCTTGTTTTATTCAACTGAAGGTCATTCATATATGAATTTTCAACAAAATGCTTGAAATTTTAAGGCATTTTTTTAAAGGAAAAAGAGGATTTCCTTCATTACACGCCAATTTGCAAATTTCAATTTATGCTTAGATCGAAGAAAAAACATGGTCTCAATCAAAATATACAATCGACTTCAGTTTTTTTGATGAAATTGCAAAAAAATGAGTGAAAATGATGGAAGTATTATCTTTTTTTCTTTCACACATGTATAAATTTCTTAATATTTATCATTTCAAAAAACATTCTCATATGAAATTATCTATTCAGTGAAATAATTTGAAATATTGGAATATCTGGGATTATTTAATTTCGATTCACTTTTCAAAAAAGTGCACATCTGAGATTTGTTGCAATCGTTTTGTAAGGTAACCAAATTAAAAAAGTCACTACGAAGAAGTTTGTTAACAAAATTATTCTGAAAAATTTTATAAAGATTCAAAATTGTGAATTTTTTGAATCTTCGAGAACTTTCAACTGTTATTTCCTTTTCCTCGTAAAAAATATTATGCTAGAGTTTTTCACTCAATGACTTTGATTAACTCTGATTTTGAAATTGTTAATTGCTCTCACTGTAATTCCATTCCAATCAGTATGCAATGGTAATTTTTAATTAGTACTGGTTTTTCATACATCAAAAAGTTACAATGCATAAATAACACTGGGAGAAAAAATTAAGAATTTCATGAGGTGTGAAATGAGGACGAGGTAAACAATCATTTTAAAAAATTTTGCAAAAATTTAACGAAAGAACTATTTTGTTCATCTTATAGATGATTCCTTTTTAATTTTCTCATTTATTACCTGAATTCAATTTTAAAATTGATGTAATGGAAGTAAAAAAAGTAATTGATAATAATATAAAGGGCATTTTTTTCACGAAAGATTTTGGAATTATTTCGATCCTATTTAACTCATCTTTACCTCTTTTTTCTATTTATTACTTTCAGAATACTATTAGTATTTTTCTATTAGCTTGTCCTTGCAAAAAAAAAAGCTTAAAATTTGAAAATTCCAAAAAGAGTTCGGTAATATACGAATTTATTAAATGCCGGAAAAAAGGAAATGAATTGTTCAACTGACTGACTTATTTTAAATTTTTAAATAGCAAGATGAAAAAAACATAATTAACCTTTTGGATTTTTAGGCACGCTGCACAGTTTGTGGCTCTTCCCGCTTTCGATGGAATAATTGAAGAATGGATAACGAGTTGGTGGATATGTTAGCCTGATATATGCTGTGGCTAATGGTAGCAATGGTAGTATCCATATCATACTCCTTCCTAAAATGAATATAATTTTAATATATCAGAAATTGCAAAAGGGAATAAATTCGAGCGATGAATTTGAAATGGAAAAATTAGAATAGATAATAATTAGCTGAGTAATAGAAAAAACTTTTTTGCCCTCATCAATATATTTAACAATTCTTTTTTAAAAAAAACCATCGTAACATGGACTGTCAAACGGTCCTATTTGAAGTTATCGGTTAAGGCGGATATTGTGACAGATAGCATCACCCGAAATACTTTCAATATGATTCATTTTGTACTACGTTTAATCATTGTTGATATTATCAGATCGAATTCTATCTGTGGAAAAATGGAAATTTTCAAGTAGTCACAATAGAACTGACTGATTCGGAAAGTGAATCAGAATATATCTTAATTTTTGATTGGAATTATATCATAAAACTATTATACTATATTGGTTTAATTTAAAATTCAAAAAAAGCAAGATGAGAAGGAATTTTGTTCTCAGTTTTGTATATATTAATAAATTAGATCTTCTACAATTTAAAGATAACAAGCATTTATTAACAAAAGACAAATGTTCCATTATTGCATAGAGATCGGTCAAAGGTCAAACGTCCTAGAGTGAGTCAAACAAGACGACTGATGCATATTTTTTACAGTCCACTGCGGTCACTGAAGGTCGACGATTCTTCCCTTCCCATTCAACTAAATCAGAATTACTCCATTATTTTAGACTTCCCATATCATTACTTTTTCTTCCTGTTTTTCTAAATTTTTTTTGTTCAATCAACGAAACCATTCAAAATGTATTTCTCTTCGATGTGTGACTTTTCACATTTTAATTTTTTACGCCAACCCAATCGACTGGAAAACTAAATCAGTATTGGAATGCAAATCTATTCAAATGTATGACAACTACGGTAAATTCACGCGGATTGTTTAATAATAATTTTTAGTAAAATATACATATTTTTTGAAAATTAATTGAACTAATAATTATAAAATAAAATGCATAATGATTTACACTTCATAACATTAGCGAATTTAATTCAGAAAGAGGAGGAAATTATGATTAGTTTAATTTAACAAATTATGATGCAAAAAGTTTTAGGACTATAAACAAAATGACCTATCGATTTAGCTAAAATTCATCATTCCAATAATCACAGATGATTACATATTCCACTAATACATGTCAAGAACAATGGTATCAGCATAATATTGAAGGAAAAAGTATATCGGTGCACACACAGACACACGTGTGTGAAATGAAATGGAATTAAAACAAAGATGCCGAGAAATAGCAAATGTTTTGGAAGCTGCAAGAATTTCACATCGGGATGGACGCGGAAGGAGGAATGATATTAATTTCAGGATTTACCACACGCAAAGAAAAATATCCAAAGAAGGAAGTGAAAATGAAGAGAGAAAGGATGCATGCGGTATATATATCAGAATATAAAATCAGGAAAAAACAAAATGAGGGGACGAGAAAGGGAGAGAAAGAGAGAGAGAAGAAGTGGGGGAGAGGAGAAGAAGAAGGAAAGAAAAAAAGAAGGGAAATAATTGAAAAATTTTCACTGCTAATTTCGTATTACCGGAAGAACAAATAATATCAGTTGCGTGTTGGCAAATTTATAGGTATTGCCGCTGTAAGGAAAATTTTATTGGGCAAAGAGAAAGAAGAAGGTTAAATGATAATGATGGTGATGATCTGAAAGTGAAACACTGAAATATGAGGGATTTTTCGATCAACCAGGAAAAGGGTCAAATACGATTTAATGGAACAAAATAAATAGTAGAATGTGATCATTTTGTTTGATAAATTTTAATTAATGAGATTCAATTTTGTACCATTTATTGATAATGATCCACTAAAGTTGATAAGCTTGTGCATTGAAATTTGTTGATCAGTTCAAATTTGTTCAAAGAATTTGGAATAATTTCATTTATTGTCGGTAAATTATAGTAATCATTCTTTAAGATCAAACTTTATGAATGTTAAAGAAAAAAAATTTTATGAATGTTACGATTTATTAGACAAAAATTGAATCATAAAATATTACCCGAAAGTAAATGCAACTAAGAAGCAACAGTAGAAGCTCTTTGAATTTATTAACCAGAATTTTCTATTTTCCTCTTTCTCTTTTAAGTAGCAAGACAAAAAATCTCATTGTTTAAGTTTGATAATAAATTAAGTAATGAGTGGAGAATTACTCTTAATCAAGTAATTTAATAAATACTACAAAAAAGAGAATCCAATTACTATGTGCCAATTCTTCTCTGTTTTTTCTCGCATTAATTAAATTAATTAAACTAAACTTATTCATTTTACTCACTGGAAGTATGTTAGGAGAGATTGGATGAAAAGTATTACAAAATCTCTTCCCATTTATTCGGTACCTTTGCTATCAGTGAGAATGATATGATAAAGATGATAGGGCGGGGAGTGGAGAATGAGCGGGGAGGCGAAGGAGTGCCGAAGAGGAGGGGATCGGATTGTCCTCCAACTCACTCTCTTCTCATCGTCCGCCTCTTCATCCTTCTCTCTCTCTTCTCCTTCCTCCCCCTCTCCTCTCCTTCTATTTTCATTACTTTTGCAGTTTAATGAAGGATACAACGGTTTGTTTCCGTTTTACATCTCCTCCGCCACTTCAGGCATCGACGATGACATTGGAATGTATGAATGGAATAGCAGCAGTAATATTATAAGGTTGAATAATTCTGATGATATCATCCGCGTCGTGAATTCCGACTATCCTATTATACTTTTGTCAATTACGGCCTTTTTCAGATTGTACCATATTTGAATAACCTTAAACATATTTTATTACACTTCAAATCTTATCGTAAAATAATTTTCATGATACCGATGTGAAATAAGAGAAAGAGAAACTGAAACTACTAAAACGAAAAAGAAATTTCAAAAAAAAGAGCCGTTTGTTATTTGCGGAAATTATTGGCCAAAATTTAGGATTATAATGAAATAATTCAAACAAAATTTATTTTGAGTAAAAAATAAAAAAGGAAAAGAAAATTTAAACAGTCACAAATAAACGGGACGAATGAAGATGGTAAAAAATTTGTATTTAAATGGTTGAAATGGTTTTGTTCCCGTAACACAGAAATGAAAAAACAATTCTTTGCATTCTTTTTCCACCCAAAATAGAATAATTTGGTATGGATGGATGGGTTCATAAAAGTTGAAGGATTCTAATGGATCTGAGTTGAAATTGCTTTCAACAACAACAACAACAACAAATGATTCCAGTCGTTGTGATGCGCAAGGATTACCGCAGAAAAGAAATGAAGAAGGGAAAAACGAAATGTCACAAATAACTCATCCAATATCAATAAGAAACAATTAAAACAAAAGTGATGACGTTTATTATTGATTGATTAATTATCTCTGTGATTTGAGAGGGCAAAGAATTTGTAAAGGAACATTGACTAATATTACTTTAACAAAAAATATAATTAAATTAAAAAACATATTCTTTGTGATGTACAGAAATCACTTCATTTTGAAGTAACGGATAAGAAAACTGAACGGTATCAAACTTCACAATCACCTCGCTTTTATATATTTTCAATTTGAATTTTGCTTTTAATTATTATAAACAACTATCGTGTACAGGAAAGAAAATATTAGATAATTAGTATTAATTAGATGCTGATAATACAAAAATATCATTAAGGCATTGTACTATCGGAAATAAAATGAGGCAAAAAACAAAATTTGATTCAGTCAGATAATGTAAAACTATAACAAAATATATTTTCGGAAAATTTAAAAGAATCCAGAAAAAATATCCATTACCATCAGCTGTTAAAAATGATTTGAAATAGAATTTTGCTGATAGATAACAGCTTTGCAGAAGAAATTTTCATTTTGTACCTCAAAATATTTCCGAAACGGAGGAAACTGAAGAGAGTTTGACAGGAAGTTGTTCATTTCGGAAGTTGTTTCATAAAGTTGTTCATTTCAAAAAATGAGATAGTTTTCTTTGTTTACATTAAAGTAAATTTATCATTTAATTGCATTGTCAAAGTTTTAATCTACCACATCCTAAAAATAAACAGCGTTATGACATACTTTTAAACTTTGTAAAGGTGTATTTCAAGAATTTTATGGATAGCAAATGATAGAAATACAAGTGTTAATCCCTAACTATTTGAATATGATAACAAAACAAATGTTGAATTTATGATCACACAATTCTTAAACCTTGAAAATAATAAAACGGTGATGCTGTTGTGTTGATCGCTGTTGTCGCTGTCATCAAGGCCAATTGGACAAGTGACCCTTCCCGACGGAGGAGCCAAATGAAGAAAATTTCTTTCACCCTCTTTGAGCAACGTATACCATCAATGATTTCTTCCTCACCCTTTTTTCTTCACCTTTTTTTAAAATTCAAATCCGATTGACACCATAATTCAGCGAATAATTTGAATACAAATGTGTTCAAAAAGTTAGAATAACGATTGTAAATTTGAAATAAACTATGATGAAATTTAAAACTAGTTAAAATCTCTTAACAAAATGCTGCCTATGCGTAATGGCATGATAGTGATAAAGATAACTTACGTGTTCTGTTTAACATTATAAAGTTAGAGATTTGATAAAGAAGCGAAATTTTATCTCATCAAATTTATAGAATGATTGTTATTCCAATTTATTTGATCGTTTTTTCTTTCAAAATTTTGATAGCGTATTGCCGGACAATTTATGATATTTCAGGTTTTGTAACATAGAATTAATGACAAAAAATATGAATTATTATTTCAAAACAAAAACGTCATTTTCATCACCATGGCATACATTATATCAAATAACTGATAATCACGACAATTTCATATTTTTAATTATCACTAACACACAATAATACCAACTAGCTGATAATCATGATAATATTTGCGACCGCTTAATGAAAAATAAGAAAAGAAAAGCATTAATTAATCAGTTTTGGAAATCATATGAATATTCCTGATGTGGACTAATAGTGCCCATTTTTGTTA